TTTTTTTTTTTTTTTTTTTTTTTTTTTTTGGGTCTAAAGAAAAGGAACTGAAATATTAGGTTTTAGTTCCAAGCGAAGTGGGGCAAGAAAAAGGAAAGGAAAAGCAGTTTTTATGAAGCCAAATGCCAGTGTTCCGTTCTGTAAATTGTTTCTTGATTTTGGAGTGCTATGGTAATTATATGGTTTGGATTTTCCCCATGAGATGCACTTTTAAGCTTATTATAGGAGGAAAAAACATGGCATGCAGCTTGAAATGGAAAAGAACGTTAAATTTCAAACGTAAACCGCAATATTTAGTCAGATCTTCCCTCAGCTACGGCTTCTTTTGAAGTGCAATCGTATTGAATCATGAATTTATATAAAATAATAATAAAAATTAAAGAAATTATTAAATATTATCAAATTTAAAAATTTAACACGCAAAACTCAACTTTAAAAGCCACAGGGTTTCAATTACAACTTTCAGCCTTTTAGAAGCTGAAGAGCAACTTTTATAAAAACTGCAAGCATTTCTTAAAAAATTGCATTTAACTTTAACTTTTTCAGTAAAGAAAATCTTTTTCAAAGCCCAGAAACAAGCATTGATAAGAATTTTAGCCGAAAGGTACCTACTCCTTTCATCACAAAATATCTGTTGCTTTTGGAAAAAATTGTCGTTAGTAAAAGGGATCGCCATGGGAACTCCTTATGGTGCCATACAAGGAAAGAATTCCATTTGCCTCTTTCACTGGAATGTGCTTTTTTGGGCGACTTCACCTTGCTTAGAGTGACTTTAATGTGACCACTGCTCCGAAGTCCTAGCGAACATCCCAATACCAAAATTTATATCTTTTATGAATAGCTAGTTTTCAACTTTCTGACTGCCCAAAATACCTGCCTGAAATCGTGGCAAGAATATTTAGCATAATAACTTCATCATCTACATTGGTCTTTTCAGCTCGCAAGCTAGCGCACTTGCGGAGAAGGCTACGGAGCGAGGCGCAAGTGTCAGCATCCAGTGGAGTATCAATTGCTGCACATAAAGCAAATAGCCATGCACAATCTTTCTTTGATAGGTTTGCCATGGTCTCAAACAAGCTTATGCGTTTCCTCAGCATTGACACTCGGGCTACAAAGTCCAGCTTCTGAATCACAGACAAAGTTGGGTAGTCATTAGAACCATCGCCCACAGTTGTTTCAGAACTACTCAGATCCTCATGAAATGGTGACATTGTCCTGTTGGTAGCACTTGATAAAGATGACTGACAAGAATTAACTTTGTCTGTAGTTAGGTTGTTATATCTCTCATCGGTAACACTCACAGGATGCTGACAGGAGGAACTCTTCACAAACACTGGTTGCAGCTTACCAGAAATATTGTTACTGGTGTCCTCTAGATGCAAAATAACCTGAGAGCAAGAGAAGAAAAATTCAACAGTTATCTTGGATATGAGATTCTCAAGAGATTCTTCATAATCTTGGACTCAGGAACAATATTGTATCTAAATGCCAATAGTTTTCAAAAATTACCAAACAATAATGACTCCCCTTTTCTCAACAATTACAAAAGTAAGTAGTTGCATTGCTTGTTCAGTCAGAAATTGTACAGCATTTTAATTATATGCTCATTTGTACAGACTTGGTAAAATTTTAAATTAAACAGACTGCAGTGGCAATTTGATTCTAAAACACAATAAAAAATTAAGGAGTATGCTGTATTCACCTTCAGTAGCCTCTCATCAATGTTGTTATGGTGATTACTACTTTCATCATATAAACAGAAACTACAGAAGAGGGAAAAAAAGAACATACCTGACGTAGCTCTAAGAAATCAGAAAGAAATTCATCCTCCCACTGTTTTAGTGGCAGCAAAGGGTCTGGACAGCTGGCAATTTCAGGTATTTGGGGCATGTAAATACTTTGCACTTTATCGATTTTCCACTTTTCAAGCTTTACAACCTTCACATTTGGAAGCTGAGCAGCTTCCCACCTAAGCAGGAAAAATTCAACTCCTCAGTTTTCTACAATTTAACCAGTTATATTCATTCTAGAATAAGTAGATATATATATATATATATATATTAATTTTTGGCAATTCAGAAAAAGTAAATATAGAATTGCAAGAATCTCCTGAATGGCTGGGTAGTCAAAATTATAGCTCATAAACTCATTCCAAAAAATTAATGCAAATCAAATAATCAGACTGCTAATATGATTTGGAATATTTTTTATGTGAAGAATACAAAATTACAAATGGAGGGAAAGGAAACAACACTGAATGAAAGACATCTATCATTCCCTCCTCAAATATAGTTAAGGAAAAGGAAAAGGTACTTAACCAATACCTTCACTCTTTCATAGGCAAAGGAAAGGTGAGAGGAAGGAAAACTATTTTAACATACTTTAAAAATTTTATCCTTAAATCATTAGAATTACATGTTATTTAAAAAGAATAAAATGGTAAATTTGATTTATCAAATGGGAGGGCGCCTTCCTTTCCATCCATTCTTCCATTTTCAGCCAATGACTTTAAGGCTGCTTTCTGAAACAGAAGCTGCAACTTAAGAAAATAGCATAAAGAATAAATAGAGCTGGATTTACTTAAGCTTCAGAGCGATGGTCCCGATGACATCAGAAAACATCTAAGAGAATTACACCTAAGAGAAAACATCCTGGAAACAGTCCCAAATAGAAAAATCTACTGATGCTAATGACAAATTTAATCCCCTTCTCTTTTATTTCAGAGAAACAAGCTAAAGTCCCAAGTACAATTTAATTGTAAAATGTAATGCTAATAACATCAACCAACTTCTCCAAGAAATGCTAATGCAAATTTTCCAAGAACCACATGATAAAGGCCCCGTTAATCCTATGCCTCAACCTCAATAATCCTCATCTCATCCCTCTACTAGATGATCAGATTAATTCTTGATTTTACCCTAGGCAATTCAATTTTCATTATAAAAAATGTTTGTCAGGTTTAAAAGGAAAATAGTAAAGAGAATGAGAGATCAAGGCAGACTGCTGGCTTTAAATTTTCATTTCATGAAGTTCAAAAAAGTACAAATATGCAAGTGGGTCCTAAGGGAAAAAAAAAACACAGTGAGAAAAATGAAAAAACTATGATCTAAAGAGTACTAAGTAACAGTCAAAATGATCAACTAAAGAATGAGCAAGGATCAAGGGTGATACCTGACACGCCTAAGATATTCTAATCCATCCTGTGCTGGACCAGCATCAAAGTTGGGTTCTCCTTCTACCAAGAAAGCAGGCTTAAGAATGCTGTCGTAGTCTTCATCACTATCATCATCTTCACTACAGTCTCCTACTGCTGCAAAGGAATCTTCTCCAACATCATTAGTACAAGTATGATCAGAAGGATCTACACGTTCAGTCTCACAACCCTCCAGGTTTTCCAATACACTATCCCTGTTTCCAAAATACTCCCCTGAAACAGTATAAATATTAAGAAGTGAATATATAGCTAAGGAATCTTAACCATTCGAAGGAAATCAAACAATCATAATCCATGCAAGCCAGCAAACAGACAATAGAATCTGTTCTCATTCACATACAAAATAATCAAGAAATCTATTTCATTAAGGAACACAATTTTATAATAGGTTTACCCTACAAAAGAATGTAAAAGAACCATGTCAATGTAAAAGACATCATTTTATTCCATCATATGGTACTAAAATCAGTCCCTGGTATGGCAGCAAACTTTATTTGAGATTGAGAGGCATTGTGGTTGAATCCCACAAAAATTAAACAAAGGATAATTCAATAATCTCACTTAACAACATATAGATTCCTTCGTTACAAAAAACAAGCATCAAAATGGCAACCAAGGATTTGTTAATCTAATGGAATTTTGAAAGAAAAAAGGAGCATTAGGATGACACAAGAAGTTGAATATGCTGTACAGCAGACTCTCTCTTTTACTTTGTGAAGGGTGACACATACCTTTCCTTTACTTTTACTTTATGAAATGCAGATTTAAAATATAATAAAAATAATAAGCCTGACAACTGACCAAAGGGACAAGAGGAAAACAAACAGAAAATTAAGATCCTAATAACAAGATATAAAGCACATTGAAGACAGAAAGACTTTTCAAATTTTAAGCTATCCCAGTTGCTTGACCTGAGCATTAGAAATAAACAGGCACCCCTTGCATAAGAAACAAATACAAATTTTCATATCATGTAATTACCAAAGGTTAATTTGAATGAATTGTGAATGCACTCTAAACATAACACAGAACACTAACTCTACTATATATCAAACACCAAAAGTATCTGTTGAAATCAAAATATTATATATTTTACAAAACTTATGTCATCCTGAATAAAAAAGTGACTGTGCAGAACAAAGTAAAATTAACATGATGACAAACCAAAACAAAGGGTACAAACTCAACAGGTTGATGGCCAGTTCCAAAATTATGTCATATAGAAACAAGCAGGAAGCACAATGTGAAAACAGAAAAACATGAAATCCAAAGATGCATTTCAATGATGAAAACAGAAAGGTGCAGAAAAATTAAATACATACAAGGGATTGCAGGGGCCTCTTCCTTTCTTCCCAAGCATTGGCGAGGATCAAAGTCCAAATAGATGCCCTTCTGATGCTTTGACTTCGCCAAATTATCATACTCGCTCATAACAGCTGCCTCAAGTCCAGCACATATTTTACTCCACAACTTCTTTTGTTCTACAGTATCAACAAACCTCAGGGCCTCCATTTCCTCTCTGGAGTACATTTTCTTAGTAGGACGCTTGAGTACAGTACTTTTTAAGCAACTGTTTATTCCCATGTCTTCTATGTGTCCATTCACAGTTCTGTGTATTGGCACTGATTCAACTGAATGCAAAATAGAAACATCAACTCAGAAACAGACTAATCACCTTCAGGTTTCCTCTCATAATCCAATTTCATTACTGAAGTTATTTTCTAAGTTGATTCTATTTCATTCTTGGAAGCATTGTAGTGAAAAAAAGGAATGCATGCATGGAAAATTAAGATGTATTCAAAAGAATTCATGCAAATATAGAGGAAGACCAAGATAAAAATGAAACATAGGAGGCACTCCCACAACTGATAATAATGTATAATAAAAGGACAATAGCTAAAATGCTTACACAGACTTCGAACTAGGCAAAGAATTTATTGTAAAATCTCAAAATTCAACAGCCTTAAGCCCAAAGGAAAATTTCATCTTATTTGATAAAAATTCACTGAACCTAAAGAGAAGAACATTTAAAGACCATTCAAAGCAATGGTTATACTTAAACCCCGTATTGAGCCCACCCACAAAAACGTAATCTGTTGTAATTTGTTTCTTACAAGCCCTATACAATACAAAATGCAAGGAAATGTGAATCAAGAAGTACAGCACGTCCAGTACAGTCTCCAAACCCTGAAACAGAATGCATAAAAGCCTACAGGAGAAGGATAATTAAACCAAACCTCATAGCAAGCAAAATCAAACATTTTCCATTCAAACGAAAAAAGAAGAGCCACTAATTAGCAGTAAATAAACAACTAATTTCAGCAATTCATACAATGCTCAGCCTAACATTAGCATTTTATAAGAAAATTAAACCATTTTCAAAAGAACAAACTAATGGATTAAGATTGCTAATTGAATCCTGACGGGGCCCTTACCAGGGGGCAGCTCATTTATGTCCAAATAAGGGCTCCACTGTTGTAAAACCAAAGGAAATTTATCAACAACAGTCCACCTTCGCTCCAAAACTTCCTTCATCGCCTCCTCGATATCAAATTTAAAGAGATAAACACCATCTTTCAACTGATAAACCTTAGGTAGCTGAAATTCCTTCCAAGCGTTACTTACATAGTTGGAAATCGACATAAAACCTGGTTTAGCACCAACAGTATAACCAACCAGAGAATGTTTCCATTGTTCCGCGCCCTCATTCGTTTCCTCTTCACTAAATGTAACCGCAGAAGGATACTCAGGCTTTATATACCTCAATTTCATCATACTGCCGTTAATCGCTCTACTTTTCTTCCGACTTTTCTCCGATTTCTCGTTCGTTCTTCCTCTGCTACTACCGATTTTCTGCTCTATTGCTCTCACCTTCTCTTTTCTTTCTCCTCCAGAAATCTCACTTAACTCTGAAGAAGGGAAAACAACTCTTCTCTAGTTCTGCGGCTTCTGCCTCTCCAGTCTCCTGTCTCCCTCTTCGTCTCTCCGATTCTTTTTCCGCTCAAACCGCACCGTGGGCTTGTCAAATTGTGTAGAATAGGACAAGGAATTGTGCTTCCAAGGTTTTAATGTTTTAGTGTCTTTTTTTTCTTCTTTTTTTTTTAATCTTGATTTTAATATGCTGTATTATGTTCCACAATCTTATTAATATTAGAGGTAATATACTTAAAATAAATAGCACTTTATTAATTTTTTCTTTGTATTTTCCCCTACTTCCAATATCTTTCTTCATTTAACAGGGATGATCAAAGCTGTTTTTTCTTTTTTCTTTTTTTTTTTAAGAAACCTGATATTTTAATAGGGTGTTTTTGATATACAAATGAATTAGAATTCATTTTATTTCTAAATAAATTAGTTAGTGAATTCATTTAAAAATGAAATCTCATATTGAAAACTCTTAAGTGTGTTTGGTTTAAATGAAAAATAATTTATTTCATTTAAAAAAATATATACTAAAGAATTCATTTATAAGCAAATTTTTTTGTTTAAAATAATTTGTAAAATTATAGAATTCAAATAATTTTTTTAAAAAAATATTTTTAAAATAAATATAGAATGAGTTTAATATTCAATGTTTCAAAGAATACCCTTACCGAAGGGGAGGGATAGAGTTTATATTTGAGAGATTTTTTTTAGTAATTTGAATGCTTTGATTATTAAAAAAGTGTGAAGTTTATTTTCAAATTTAATGAGAATTGAATTAATTTAAACTAATTTCATGATATAAAACTATAGAATTGAATGCTACAATTTTTAATTAAGCCAAATACAGTAGCATAGAATTGAAATGAGAAAATTTTATCATACCAAATAGAAAGACGTTGAATTAGAAGTGAATTATATACTTCTTTGTAAAATTCATTTATACCAAACACAACTTAATTGATACAAACGTTCTTGCATTAGCAGTATTCGTTTCCCCTTTTTTTTTTTTTTTCAATTTTATTTGGTTTTAGAATCTCACAATCTCAAGTAATGAACTCTAAAACAAAGGAAATTTCAGCTTGATATTGTTGTACCTATGATTTTGATGATTACAAAATATATTTGAGTGACTAATTGGTTTATTTAAGTGTGTAGTTAAAATGTCAAAAGATTGCACAGTAAGTACACTTGGACTGCACTAAAAATGGACCAAAATGCTTGAAAATGTGTAGAGAGCCAGCTGTTGAAACTTGCAGCCAGCTGTGGAAGTGCAGAAAGCCAGCTATGGAAGCTGTAGCCGGCTCTATGGGTAAAACTTTCAAGTCCGTTGTTTGGCGCGCGGAGAAAAGACGCAAAGTCGACTCTAACTTTGCAGCCGGCTGTGTGGGTGCATTTAATGCACAATGGTTGAGTTATTTGAAGATTATTTAATGTGTTTATAGTTGAAATCCCAAAGCCGGCTTTATGATTTGCAGCCGACTGTGTAAGAAAACAGAATGTGCAGAAAACCCGCAAAGCCGGCTGCAGAATTTTTAAGCTTGCTCTACAAAGAACATAGAATGCAGGAAACCCGTAGAACCGGCTGTAGAAAATTTAAGTTGACTGTTCAGAGCCGGTTCTAGAAGTGTAAGCCGACTGTCCTAATAATCCTGCAACTCGAGCTTTACGTCCTGTAGAGCATTTAATGACCCCCAACGGCTAGAAACGGTTATTTTCGAGCAAAGGACTATAAATATGGTTGGTAGAAGATTTGAAGCAAGTTTAGAGAGTATTGCATTGAATATTTTTGCCTACCTACATGAGCTTTAACTTGAGTTTTTAATCTTTGAGATATCTTTACTTGTAATCCTCTTCTTGTTTTATTTGTGAGTGATCTTGGGGGTGTGATTAATCTTTCAAGAGTGATTTATAAAGAGGATTCTTGGGGTTTATCTTGTAAAGGGGTGAGATTTGAGAGAAACACCCTTCTTCTTGTAAAAGGATTGAGTGGCTCCTTTAAGCCACCATTGATTTTGTTAGTAGAGAATGTGGAGAAAATTCTTGGTGAGTGAAGCCAAGGTAGAGGATTAGGTTCCAAGTGGTTAGACCGAACCTCTATAAAATCATTGTGCAAGCTCTTCTTCCCTACTCTTTCTTTGATTTTTGTTTGGTGGTTGCAAAGAGGTGAAAAATTTTCAACTCCAATTCACCCCCTCTCTTGGAGTACATCGAGTCAACAATTGGTATCAAAACAAGGGCTCCAATTTGAAGGTTTAACCACCTAGGAGTTGATCGGGGATAACTCAATTTCAAGCTTCTCAACCACTTGAAGGTTTGTCTACCACCCAGCCTCCTTTCTTTGATGGTACTAATTATAATTATTAGAAGAATAGGATCAAGGTTTTCATGCTTGCAAATGTGCCCAAGGCATGGATTGTGACTATGAAAGGTCCTAAGGTCCTATGAAAGTAGTTAGGGAAAGTGAGGTGCCAAAGGAAGAAGTTGAATGGAATGATGAAGACTTGGTGAAGATCATGATCAACAACAAAGCAATTAACATGCTCCAATGTGCTCTCAATGCAACGGAATACAATAGAGTTTTTGGGTGTGATACAGATAAAGAGATGTGGGATATGTTAGAGGTTGGATATGTTAGAGGTCACACATGAAGGAACAAGTCAGGTGAGGGAGTCAAAAATCAATAGACTCATTTACATGTATGAGCTTTTCAAGATGAAACCGGAGGAGACCATTCAAGATATGTATACAAGATTGAATGATATAGTCACAAATCTCAAGGCTCTTGGTAAAGTTTATCTTTCTCAAGAAGTGGTGAGGAAGGTTCTTAAAAGCTTGCCTAAGAATTGAGAAGCCAAGAAGACCGCAATTGAAGAGTCTAAGGATCTCAACACTCTCAAGGTTGAAGATCTCATTGGAAAATTGATGACATATAAGATAGAAGTTCAAGTTGATGGTGGAGTTGAAGTACTTGAGAAGAAGAAAAAGGATGTTGCGTTCAAGGCTAGCAAACAAAAAGAAGAAAGTGAAGATGATGCTAGCAATGATGAGTCTAGCAATGAGGAGGACATCACCAAATTGGTTTCAAAGGAAGTGAAGAAATACATGAAGAAGAGCCTCAAAGGGACATCCTCTAGAAGAAACAAGGAAATTCACGATTCTAAAGAAAGAATATGTAGTGATGATGATGATGGAGGAAAGCCAAGCAAGAAGCATATCAAATGCTATGAGTGCAACAAGATGGGGCATTATAGAAATGAATGCTCTCAATTGAAGAAAGGTGAAAGGAAAAACAAGAAGAGCATGAAGAAGAAAGCTTTTACCGCCACTTGGAGCAATGATGAGACTAGCTCAAACGGAAAGTGAAAGCTCCTTGGAGAATGGTATTGCAAATCTTTGCTTCATGGCTCAAGAAGATAGCAACAATGATGAGGAGGTAAACTCTAACTTCTCTAGTTCAATTGATGAAAGTTCCTTTGAGTATTCTTATGATGATTTATGCAAAGTTCTTGATTGCTCTATGAATGATATCAAGAAACTAAGAAAATGAGAATCTTGCTCTTACTAAAGCCATTTCATTGCTTAAAAATGAGATTGTATCTCTTTCAAAACAAAATAAGGTTTTTGTTAAAGAAAAAGCCTCTTTAAATGGTGAAATTACAGCTTTAAAGAATAAGGAGTCTAATAATGCTTAAAAAAAGGAAAATGAGGATGCAAAGAAGGAAAATGAGGATGCAAAGAAGGAAAATGAGGTTTTAAAGAGAAAGCTTGTGATCTTGAGAATGTGATTTCCAAATTTACTTTGAGTAAAAAAAATTTTGATTCTATCTTAAAATCTCAAAGAAGTATTTATGACAAAGGGGGCATTGGATTTGATTATTCTAAAAAGCAAAAGACTTTTAAGAATTCTTTTGTAATAGCAAGTCAATCTTCTCATCCTAATGTTACTTGCTATTCTTGTGGTGCAAAGGGACACTTTGCCTATGTATGTCGTTTGAAGAGATTGATAGCTCAAGGTAAAGTGAAGCAAATTTGGGTTCCAAAAGGAACTTTAAGCACTAACCCCCATGGACCCAAGCAAATTTGGGTACCAAAAATCAAAATTTAATTTTGTTTTATAGGTAAAGTTGATGGCAAAGTCATAAGAAGAGTAAAGTTGATCTTAATAAAGACTTATCCCTGAACAAGAATGTTGGAGTGAAAGTGCAAAGAAAATTTGTTTTTGAATGCTCCACTCATGTGCTCAATTGGTGTTATTTATCTTATTACATTTATTCATTGAGTATAATTACATTAACATGATTATTAATTATTTGTTTATGTGTGCTCACTTTTTGATACATATGCTTGTTGAGTATGATTTCATTTGATGTGTCTTTTCTAGTATTGATACAACCTTGTTGATTGTTATAGATATTACTTGTATCATATTTACATACTTGACATATGTGAATTATTAGATTGATTATCTATCATATATATTTCATAATGAGCTCTTGATGGTATAAGTGATTTTCAATGTCATATGTGTCACTTTGAAGATGGTTGATGATTTGATTTAAATGAGTAATTTTAATAACTTGTCTTACTTTACATTGTTTTGTCTCATTCAAATTTACTTGTCTCATTATTTTCATAATTTTAATGATAACACTTGGAAGTTAAGCATGATCTTAGGAAGAGTCTTACACTTGGAAGTTCAGTACATTAGGAAATTTGTATGTTTGCTTTTTGATGGATGATTTTGATGATATTTGATTATGTGCAAGTGTATGTCATGCACTTGAATGCTTGCATAGTCATGGTTGATTTCAATGAATAAAATTTTTGATATTTGCTATCATATGATACGATGCATATAAAAAGGAGTAATAGTGTTGAATCTATTCATGTGGTATTCAATGAGACTAACCCCATTTACTCTAGAAAGCATTGTGAAATTGTGATGTAGATGTTATTGGGTAACAAAGATAAGAATGAACATTGAAGGCAATAGCATCACACAACCTCCATGTGAAGCAAGTGAAAAGAACAAGATTGAGGAGATACAACAAGAACAAAAACAAAGGTTATAATTCTACCCAAAAGAGAGATCTTATAAAGGTAATGTGATAAATGATAATATATCTCAAGGAATATACATGTTTTACTTAATGATGGCATTAACATTGTTTTTTGTGCTACTAGTGAGATTGTTATATAAGTATATTCATGTTTTCATGAGTCATTTTATTAAGGGGGAGCTCTCTTGTTTGCTCTTTATATGGTCTTCAAACTTTTTTGTTGGATAACAAAAAGGAGAGAAAGAATATTTTTACCTTCATAGTTGCTTGGAATGAGATATCTTTGTTTACTACAAAGCCTCTTGATTGTGATAGATTTTTAATATTTGGCCATTTTCCTCTCTTCACATTCAAGATTTGATTCTCTCCCAAAATTTGCCCTCATTATCTATGCACATTTCTTAGTTTATTATCATGAATTGTGGGTTTTAATTGTATATGACTTTATGATTGCCTATGATTTAGATGATTAGTGCTTAAATCACATATTTTTGATGTTTTAAAGGTTGTATGCATGAATTAAGGGGGATTTTGTTGATTATGCTTCTATGCTTTTTGATGGATGACAAAGAGGGAGAGAAAGTATGTTGAAATTTTTGTTTCCATATGAGCTCTCATTAAAATATATATGTGCTTTCATTAATTTATTTTCAAAGTGTTTTGTCATCATCAAAAAGGGGGAGATTTTTGTACCTATGATTTTGATTATTACAAAACACATTTGAGTGGCTAATTGGTTCATTTAAGTGTGTAGTTAACAAAAGATTGCAAAATAAGTAAACTTGGACTGCACCAAAAATGGACCAAAAGGCTTGAAAATGTGCAAAGAGCCGGCTGTTAAAACTTGCAGCCGACTTTAGAAGCTACAGCCGGCTCTACGAGTAAAACTTTCAAGTCCACTGTTTGGTGCGCGCGGAGAAAAGACGCAAAGACGGCTCCAACTTTGCAGCCGACTGTGTGGGTGCATTTAATGCACAACAGTCGAGTTATTTGAAGATTATTTAATGTGTTTAAAGTTGGAATCTCAAAGCCAGCTTTATGATTTACAGCCGGCTATGTAAGAAAACAGAATGTGTAGGAAACCCGCAAAGCCGGTTGCAGAATTTTTAAGCTGGCTCTACAGAGAACACGGAATGTAGGAAGCCTGCACAGCTGGCTGCAGGAAATTTAAGCCGGTTGTGTAGAGCCGGTTCTAGAAGTGTAAGCCAGTTGTCTTGACAATCCTGCAACTCAAGCTTTGCGTCCTGCAGAGCATTTAATGACCCCCAATGGCTAAAAACGGCTATTTTCGAGCAAGGGGCTAGAAATATAGTTGGTAGAAGATCTGAAGTAAGGTTAAAGAGCATTGCATTGAATATCTTTACATACTTACATGAGTTTTAACTTGAGTTTTTGATCTTTAAGAGATGTTTACTTGTAATCCTCTTTTTGTTTTATTTGTGAATAATCTTGGGGGTGTGATTAATCCTTCAAGAGTGATCTATAGAGAGGATTGTTGGGGTTTATCTTGTAAAGGAGTGAGATTTGAGAGAAACACCCTTCTTCTTGTAAAAAGATTGAGTGGCTCCTTTCAGCCACCCTTGATTTTGTTAGTAAAGAGTGTGGAGGAAATCCTTGGTGAGTGAAGCCAAGGTAGAGAACTAGGTTCCAAGTGGTTGGACCGAACCTCTATAAGATCATTGTGCAAGCTCTTCTTCCCTACTCTCTCTTTGATTTTTGTTTGGTGGTTGCAAAGAGGTGAAAAATTTTCAACTCCAATTCACCCCCCCTCTTGGAGTACATTGAGTCAACAGATATTATGACAATGCATGCCCATTGAAAGATGAAAGTTTGTCCAAGATGTCAGAGTAATAGAATGGAAGAACTCAAAGTTCTATGTCCTGTGCTAAGTCCAATAACAACAGCTAGCTGTTGCCATTAGCCGGCTTCTTGTCTTAACACAATTACCATGGCACGGTTTTAGACAACTTGTTCATCAAAAACCATATCTAAAATTGGATTTACTAGCCTCAATGGAATGGTTCTATGCTCCTCTAAATCCCAAAAACTGTGTTTTTGAAAAGCAACTAAAAAAAAACCAGAATGATTCTCCTAAAGATTGGTCCAGTTAATAAATTTCTAATTTTCTTTCTTTCTTTCTTTCTTCTTTTATTGACATTTTTAAGTTGAATTATCAAGCATGAAACTGCTAAAATGCTAATCTTAAACTAAAGTATAAGATTAGGGGCACAGAATAAAAATGCATGAACAATACAATAAAAAAATTGGCATAGAGACCAGATAAATGTTATGACTTTGTATAGCAATACATTGAAAAAATTCAGCATCTCTAGTAGAAATAATTAAGAAGAGTTTTGCCCAAACCAATACCAGTTTTTCAAGGCAAGATACATGAGATATATATTATTGTTTTCAGGGCAACTTAAACCTTAAATTTAGCTACAAAAACCAATTCAGACGTAGAAACCATTTCAGCAACTTAGCCCTTAAATTCTAATTCCATCTTAACCACTAAGCCTTCATTGAGATTGGAGAAGTTGGAAGAAAAGGGAAGGAGGAGGGAAGATGCCTCCTTCTCTTGTTTGAGTTATTTATTTTAATGAAGGGAGAGCGAGATGGAACTCCCTCCTCAATCCCTCCAATTTAGAGAGATTGAGACAAATTAGCTTTACGTATTTAAAATTTTTAAAATTTTTAAAAAATAAATATATAAAAATATTTTATATCTTTTTTTTTAATTAGTGAATTTTAAAATTTTTATTCTATTTAAAGTTTTTAAAAGTAGAATAAAAATTTTATTATTTTTTCTCTTCTACTTTTATCTATCCAAACAAAATTAATATAAATACTTTTCTTCCCTTCCCTTCTCCTTCCTTCCCCTCCACTCCCCTCCCTTCTCTTTCTTTTCCTTTCTTTTATTAATTTTAATCCAAATAAATGCTAAACAAATTTATACAATAACAATGTATAGAAAAGCATATCATAGCCACAACAAAAGACTCCAACTAAAACTCTGCATTGGGTTGCTTCTCTTTGCTTTTCCTTTTTCTTGGCTTGCCTAGGCTTTGCTCTACACTTTTCAACTTTTGCCCTTCTAGCTGCCACTCATACTTCAACGACACAATTTTAACAGTATAATCATCTCCAACTTAGCCCTTATTTTGGTAATCAAACGATCATCTAGCCTTTCTCTTTTTCTTTCATTGAGTTCAAGAGAAGCAAGTAGCAGGATAATCTGCACCAAAAATGAACATTTCTTCTTACCTATTGATCAGAACTTGGTTGCTTTCTTTCTTTTTCTTTCATTGATCGAAGCCCTTGCATCACACTAACAAACCCTATTCAACATTAAAGATGTGTTATGCCTATTGCTTGAGGGTCGATAGGATGAGCTAGAGCTCGATATTTCTTTGGGCCTATATAGATTCTAAAAACCCTAAGGAGAATTTGGGTAAAATGGAGAAAGGAAGAGAAGCAAATGTTTTTGGGGAAAACAC